CACTACAGGGCTACCTTTCCTTAACCTTTACTGTTTATCAGAGCCGATATGATGAAGAAAATATTTGTACCAGCATACCTGCCACATAGAAAAGCAAATTTCTGCCTTGCCTCAAGGTTAATATTCAGTAATCTTTATGAGTCTGCAGTTTCTTTGTTAACACATTCTTCTGTGACTCCCTTTCCTTTTTCTATTTGGGTTTTAACAAGTGAAAAGGATTTTTTAAAAAAGTAAAATATACTGAATTCATTCTTTATGGAATGACTCACTGAAAAGGGGGGAATAATGTCATCTAATTATAGCTTCCAGGGTTTTTACCTCCTGCTAAGTATACTAATACACTTGCACTAATTGCAACTTTTCCCCTCCTCCTCTAAATTTTCAATTCTCAAACTGCTTCCCTATGGAAACCTTTTTTTAAACTCATTACAAGACTCTTTTCCCCAGTGCAAATGCCAGGGGCTCTGAGGAGTCCAGAATCCTTCCTCCAGACCCTGCCATTTTCCAACCTCAAAGCCTGTTTGAAAGAACACTATTATACCTAGCTTAATTTAAAGAAATATCCATTGTAAGAGGAGAGAATATATTTCATTAGACGACCAAGGTAGCTGGGAAAAGGACAGATTCCTCAGCTGAAAGGAGCCAGACACAGAAAAAATCCTGCTCAATGATGGACCAGCAAAATTCAGTGCAATGTGAGAATGATGGGAAATTGGTGATTTGATACAACTTAAGCTGCAAGGAAATCCCTGCAAGACTAACATAATAATGGATCCTCACAAGCTCAGTGACTGGAGAACCTCCTTTCACACAGGAGTCACTGAGCGTGGAAGAGATTACTACAGCTGTCCGAACACACAAAACATGATCTTGCACCTCGATTTACATCCACAGGAGAATATTAAGGATATTCATTTATTGATATGAATTTTACCAGTCCTGAAGATTTCTTGGGTGGTGGTGTTTGGGCTTGGTGTTTTGGAGTTTCTTTGGGTTTTTTTGTGGTGTTTTTTTTGTGTGTGTATGTGTGTTTTTTGTTTGTGGGTTTTTGTTTGTTTGTTTGTTTGTTTTGTGGGGGTTTTTTGTGTGTGTGTTTTTTTTTGTTGTCTCTGTTTGTTTTGTTTTGTTTTTGAGCACAGGGAAAGGAAGCTACTCAGATAGTGGTTTGAAGATGAAAGACACAGAACAACCCCTGGTTTCAGCTCAGAAACCTATGCCTCCCCAGCTGGTGGAAAAGCAAACAGCAAGTGCAGAGCTATTCTCCCCCGAGCCACCACTTGTGCCAGGCAAAGCAGAGCAAGGAAAAAAAGAAGCCTTGCAGGCAGGCAAACCATCTGCCATTATGCTGCTGCTGCAAAAGATACCGAAAGGGCAGCAACAAATGTTCCTCTATGGATAAGAGCTAGCCACTGCTGCTGGTTTGGACTTTGTTAGATCAAGTTATATAGGCAGGGCCCAAAGGCAGAGGTGTGTACTCAGCAGCTCTCCAGAAGATCATCAGAAAGATGCTCTTTCTTTAGAGCATTTACTCCAGCTGCTTCCGAGACACTGTTCCCCATATCTGTAGAGACAATCATAAAAAGACAAAATTTAAAAGAATCAGGAGTTTCTTCATATCATTGTCATTTCAGTGTTATTTGCTTCCCGTAGTACCACCCCTACCCCCCTTCACCCCAAAAAATTGAAGCAAAAAAAACACCCCTCTATCCTCTGGGTGCTACACCATGTATTGAAGCAAATTGTTATTACCTCACAAAAATCACAAACAGAGAATTCTTTAGCCTACTCCCTTACCACCTACCATTTCTCACATCAAATGGATAATATTTGTGATCTTAAGCAATTGGGGTTCTAAAGCACAGAGTGAAAATTCGCTATTAGAATAGTCCTCACCACAGGCCTTTCTTTCCTTCCTTCCTTCCTTCCTTCCTCCCACCCGCCCACCAACAACCTTTAAGGGAAACAGTTATAGCTTGCTGAAAACAGAGGGAAACACCTCACATTCAGCAAATGGGAATTATGCACGTGCATGGACACCACTTGGTACACATATTTGAGCCCCAGGTGGTCTTGCCCTGCTACTGTGACAAATTAAACCATTCTAATTAGAGAAATGTTGGCAAAATTTGTCAAATGACTACTCCTTAAAGTCAAAGCATGCTGGAATTCTATGGAAGAGAAAATGCTAATCTGCCTCTAGGTGAGGCCACCCAGCTGCCCTGCCCTGGAAAAAAGCAGAAGCTGTCAAAGGATTTGGCAGCTACAAAACCATGACACTTAGATGTATTCACAGTTCTGGCAATGCTGCAGTTAATTTAAACTCCTCAAACTGTACCTACTGTGCTCACACAATTATTTCTTCCCCTTCAGCTTGAATGACTTGTAGCTCTTCGATTTCCTGTCCTGCAGAGGAGGGATGGGAAGCAACACATTGTGTTGGGTGTAGATTGTATGATTTAGAAAGACTTGTCACCGTGACCAGATGATACAAGTTTTATATCCTCTTCACCAAAGTCAGCATTTAATTACCTTGACTGACATAAGCTTATGTGTGGTACATCTAGGAAACATTATCTCCTAAAAAGGATGACACCAAATATACAAGTCTCAGGATTAGGACAGAACAAACCCTTCTGATATCCTGCTAATTTTTGTTAAAAAAAACCAACCCCCCACTGTACAATAAGCCTATCCATGCTAATTTAATCTGAAGTTCTAAATAATCAGAAGGAAAGCTAGAGGACTTTGCACTCCTGCAACAGCAAATCTGGCCCAGCTAATTTTCCAAATGAATCGGGAATCCAGAGCCAACCAACTACGCATTAGTCACTTGGTTACCAAGGAGGACTTAACTTACATTAATGAACACAGCACTTCATTAAAATGTAATTTTAAGTTTAGCAATATGCCAGGATGATCTATTATAGGAAGAAAGGGACAGGACTGAAATGGCAGACTCAGTTTCTTGCTACTTATCACTAATAAATTAATATAAATTAAAAATCAATACAGCAGGGTAGTGTGAGACAAATGATAATGTCCATAAAACAGAATTTGTTAGACCCATCATCCTTGTGCTGCCAGGAACATCTCTAATTCTGCACAACTGGAGAGACAAGCTGCTCTAACCAGCAGAGCCAAAATTTGCATCAGCTCCCCCTTTGCAATCGATTCCTATTCCCTCATGCCCAAAAAAACATCATCTTATGCAGACAGGACTAGTACCAACTTTGAATTATAGGGAAGGAGCCTGTCACAGAGCTACTAGAGCTCTTTACTTCTGTCATTAAAAATGACTGCAATGTGAATAGAAACACTTCTTTATTTCATTTTACACATCATAACCCAGATCTACTGCAAGGCAACCAATGACTGCAGCCAGTAACCTTGGTCAGTCAAACTCCAAATCATATTGGCTTCAGGTGGAAAGCTGAAAATGAATGCAAAGGATCCAGTATGTGACATAAGCCACACCCCATGCAAGAGCAGCTTTTCTATTCTTCAAACTTGACCTCAGCAACGCTTGTTGAAGTTGTGTAAAAATCAGGATGAAAACAGTATATAAAGCTCTTGGACAAAAAAAAAAAAAAAAAGGTTTTCCTCACAGGTGCTTAGCCTAAAGTTAAATTTTGACAAATCTATGGCACAGCTGTACTTACCACAAAGAGGAAGAAAAACTGGTGCCATGCAGCTGAGATATTTCTTCTTCCATATGACCTGCTATTTAGGTCCCTCTCATATGCAAAATGGAGAAATTTCACCATCATGGCAACTCAGAAAGTGTTCATGCTAATTACTTGCCACATATTGTTTAAACTCGATTCATACCTTTGTGGGTTTTAATTGCTTTAGGTAGGGAGACTATTTAAAAAAAAAAATAATCCCATCACTTTTACTACTGTTACGTTCAGAAATATCAATGCTCTTTCAGTTCAGTAGCGTGTTTCTCATAAGCACATGTATGCTTATTCTTCTATTAAAAAGCCAGATGCAAATACCTAACCTTGAAAGCATTTAATAGAATTATGTAAGTTTTAATTAAAAAAAAAAACACCAAGTGTTTTTCCCTCAGCAGCACCTCCCCACCCATCGAATTCATCCTTAAAGCCTTACTTGTTACCCCTTCAATGTAGGCAACTATCCTTGTATGCATACACGAAGATGAGACTCTACTGCACCTTCTTTCCAACCGTGTCACAGCAACTTAAAAATTTAATACATATTCCTTTAAAGAAATTTGAGTGAATTTATTGTATAAAACTATGATTGGCATGGTACAGAAAAGTTCCTTTTAATGCACATTTCCCATTAACTTGTACACAAATTTTACAAGTATCAAGCAAAATGCAAAAGTCTTAAGAACTAATTTCATACTACAAAAGTGTTCACATAGTGAAGTTACTCTGGTTACAAAATGTCATGGAAATAAAAGCACTTCAAAATACGTATTTGGGAAATGTCTCAAATAATCAACGCAACCTTAAGTTAGTTAAAAAATGCAAAGAAAGAGATAGTCTCTTCAAAACACTATTTCATTTGGCAAGATGGAGCAAAGTTCAGATCAGTTTATTATTGAAGGATTATTCTTCAGAAAAACAAAACCAAACAAACAAAAAACCCCACCCTTTAGTTAAGAAAGGACTTAATTATACCATGATGACAAATAACGCCATCAAAAAGTTACCTGGCTCTCTTGTTTTCACACAGGAGCTGTCAGAGGCAGAGATGTGTAAATGAACACTTTCAGGTGTATACAGATTGCCTTTTCAAAAACCAACCAACCAAAAAACAACCAAAAGCCAAACAATTAACCAAACAAAAAAACAAAAAAAAAAAAAAAAAAAAAAAAAAAAAAAAAAAAAAAAAAAAAAAAAAAAAAAAAAAAAAAAAAAAAAAAAAAAAAAAAAAAAAAAAAAAAAAAAAAAAAAAAAAAAACCAAAAACAAAAACAAACCCAAAACCAAAAAACCTAACCCCCAAAACAACAGAAAGGAGACAATCTGAACTTTGTTGTTTTCATTGAACTAGTTCAGTTCCTTAGGTCACAAGACCCAAGAATACCAGTCTGCAAAGGACACAAATTTAAAGAACAAAATGGAACTTCCACTACGACGGAATGCGTAGATGTCCAGTTACACGACTACCACACGTCCCCTCAGTAAGGCTGTTGGAGGATACCAGACCTCAGCTTCCCAATAACCTTGAAGACCTGCTATTCTGAAGAAGAAAAAAACATTTGGACCCTACAAACAACCTTACAAAAAGGAGGCACAGTCGTACTGTTAGAAAATAACACAAAATTTTGAAGCCTGAAGGCATCCTTAAAAACTCACACAAAATAACTACAAAATAAGCAATACTTTACATTATTTCTGTATCAGATGACTTGCCTGTGTTTGAGCAGTTGAACATTGCTATGTATATCTACATGAAATCACACATACAGAACATCGTGTTCAGGCAGGCATTATTGTTGTTTTCCTTTTATACACACAAGTTACTATCAGGTTATCCAGTCTATTCAAACTCAGTGAAAAACAGTCCACAGCACGCGTAAAAGGAGCAGTATCCAATACAGTGTTGTCTTGCAAAAATGGAGTCAGAATTCCTGAGTCTCAGAGACATTGCTGTCCTCCTCCATTACTGGATTATTTATTTTCCAAGGAGAATCTCTAGTTTTCATTTCTTCACTCTGATGAAATTTGTAATAGATTGCATCTTTTTAAAAATGTAAAACTTGTACAAAAAACGTGCCAACCAAAGTGAATTTTTAAAGCTTTTTAAAGGGAGGGGAGATTCACTTACAAAATAAAGGCCACCTTCTTGTAAAATTAGTACTGTCAGTATCCTATCATTCTGTTTAAAGGAGAGATTTAGCTCCCTGTTCTGGAAGTCTTACTACCTGTAGTCATGTGAGCTGAAAAACTCCATCCTTTTAGCAATTAAAAATACTATAAATAGGACTAACGTGGAACAGCCCTTTGTTACAATCACCAAGGTGGCAAAACCAATGAAGTCTCCTTCAAATAGTCACTGCAATCTAGCTTCTGCATTTTCCCTTGTACTTTGCATATTACACAGTGTAACTTAAAATGTAATTTAAGAGCACTTCAGTCCCACAATGTAGGATTTAAGCTTGTGTGAATACATAATGGCTCTGCAACATTTGTAATGCCTTAGAAAAATACATTCAACCAAAACTTTATATAGGTTTCTATTTTTTTAAATCAAAAATGAAGAAAAAGCCAAATGGTCCCATCATTAGCTAAATAATACACTCTAACTTCTGGAAGCAATTCCAAATCAAAAGCACATTCAAGAATAACACACTGAGTTGCATACCTTCTCATTCATCTTTATCAGTAATAAAATTCTACTGCATATAGTTATTCAGCCTTATAAATAATGCTAAGCAGAAAAATATTTACCTCTGTGCTACTTTTCTCAGTTTATAGAAGCATTTCTCAGTTTATAGGAGCAAAGGAAAAAAAACTAAAGTGCAGACTACAGGCCATGACAGGCATAATAAATGACCAAAGGTGCAGCCAAATTTGCATTTACATCTTAAGTTACTTTGCCATCTTCCTTTTCTTGCTAGAAGTCACCCCTGTGCAATTGAAAAGCTGGTCGGTTGATTTGTGCCACAGTACAACCTGTAATCACTTGCAATTTTTTAAAAAAATCTATTTCAATTGTCCATAGACATTTCTAGGTGATAGCTCAGGTTCAAAAAACCTTACTTAATTATTAATACTTGAAATCACACAATATTGACACCTCCTCCAGCGAATGCTACTGTCCTTTTGTTGCAGTACGTGGTTGAACCAGTGAGGCTTGGCTGACTGTCTTTAACAAGCGATGTCTTCATTTCCATTTCACACGCTGCAATAGCTGCATTCAGTTCCACTTGAGCTCGGTGAACAACATAAAACATGAGTCCTATGCTTACGACAATCTGCAAATAAAACAAGAGTGTTGTAGGCTATATAAGCTGCAGGCATGAATACAAAGCAACTGATATGAACAAAATAATAAGGTGTCGATGCAAAGATTCACAAAGGCATCCGTTGGCTCAACGCTTTGCTGGCAAGACATTAGAAGGGAGATGAACTCTCTAAACCTACATATGCTAACAATGTAACCAGTGTATCAGAACATAGACATTACAAAGAACTTATAGGAATTGGAAAGATAGTTTCTTTCTGTTGGCATCCATTCACTCATTATAAAGCAATTTTTTCACTTCCTCTCTTGGAAATAATGCTTCCACAAAGAAACGACATGGTGCGCTTCTGTAAGTCAAAGAGGCTGTATTCCATGTACCAAGGTTTAAATTGTACTGGGCATCTGCAACTTGCAAAACAGCAGAACACAGCAGGAGGATCATGCAGACCAAAGGAAATAAAACTAGTTCTTGCCCCTCTGGTGTGGAAGACAGCAGAGAGCAGCAGCGCCACTGTGCTTCTAGGATATCTGGGCTAAACAGGACAGAATCAGAGTTTCTGAGTGACTTACAGCAGTCTGTATGGGAAGAACTTGGTTTCTGGACGATGGATCAAAGAAGAGACAAGATGTCAGTGGTGTGGGGTTTTTTTGTTTGATTAAGGAGGAAATACTGTTGAAAACTAAGGGTTTAATTCAGATTTTTGCTCTAAATTATATTGCTAAGAATTTTTAAACTTTCAGCACAAAAATCATCAGAAATAAACCTGGACAATTTTTGCTTAGAAATTACTCATGCAATGACATCGGCATGCACTGCACTCCTCAGAGGCATATTTTGATTTCAATAAAACACCAGTCAAGTTTTTTAGCTGAGATCCTCCTTAATAAAAATGATAAAATCTTCAAATAAAAATCAAGCTGTCTCCTACCGAGAGTCCTTTGAAAGAAGTAAATTATCTGTCTTTTTAAAAGAATGTTTTATGAAACTAGCTGGAATTGGCAACTTCCTTTCAAAAAACCAAGAAGGTTATATTATTTATAACGGAATCTAAAGTTTTGAGTCCAAAATCTGAACTTTGTTACTAATTGGTAGAGGTATGTTTTCTTTAGCATTGAGGGCTATTGCTTAAAACATCTGCCAGCATGGCATACAAGATGCTAAAATATCACTGAGATGATTGGCAAGTATGGTCACAAGATAATTGCAGGGGGTAAGGCATCCTGACAGTCTCTAGCCCAACATGCTGCTCAGGGCTGGCGGCAAAATCAGTTTGCTCAGGACTTTTGTCCAGTCAGATCTTGAAAACTTCCAAGGAAAGAGATTTCCCCACCCTTCTGGGCAACCTGCTTCTCCACTGCTTGACAATCCTTGTGTTGAAAAAGATGTCTTTCACCAATTCAAGTTATACATTTCAAAAGATAGTCAACATAAAAGTCAAAATGAGACTATGGGTAGCAAGTTCTGAATACATAGGGAAAATCCTATTCTAAAAGCTTACCCAAATATTTAAATTTGATTGGTTTTAGCAATAGTACTACCAGAACCCTAGTTCTCTAGATGAATAATATATATACATACATACATATATATATATATATATATATATATATATATATATATATATACACACACACAGACAACAATGAAATGTGAAGGCTTTTCAGAGCTATCCACTAAATCAAAGTCCAATCAAAGCTCAGCCTGGCAAAGCACTAGGTCTGAGAGACAGTGGGAGAACAGAAATAATTCCTCCACTAAAGGCCTCCCCTTCACTTTTTCAGTCAGATCCTAAGGATTGCTGTCAAGGATTCCTATTCAAACTTTCAGACTATCTAGCTAGCACTTACTTGTACAACAGTTACATTACAACCTATATAATCTACAGAGAGTCAATGTCATTAAAAAAAAAAATGGAAAAAAAAGGAAAATACCACTAGAAACTCCTACCCTGGAAATAACATTTCATTACTAAATTGATAGCTGATCAAATAACCATTTATTTTCTCTTTGATGTGTCAAGGCTATTAACCCCATATTCACAAAGGCATTTTTAATACTCATAACCCTGTTCTGTGAAGCCTATAAATCGTATGTTTTATTTAAAGCACACAAGTATCAGGGGAAGAGGGTAAGTTATGAGTAAAATGGTCCTGGACTTAGTTTTCTGTTATCACCATTAAACATCAGTTTTATGAATGTAAAAACTGAGGAGTGTAAATGACTGCACTACCTACTGAAAGTCTGCAAACCATGGTAACTGCTAGTCAAACACAGCTTGAAGTACTGACACTGTCAGAAGAGGTTTTAATATATAATCTAGTTATGAAATATCCATAACCTCTATGGTCTCAGACCTAAGGCTTACACCAAGATCTACTGACAAATTATTTCATCAGGTAAGGTCATGTAAAGGTATTACATACTTCTCATTCATTTACTCACTTGTAAAATTAGTGCATTCTGATTTAGGCATTAGCAAAATTATATTTCTACAGCACTTTTAGTCCTGAATACCTAGGCAAAACGAGGATGCTGAGTGCCAACAGCAAACGCTGCACAGGTGCTGGGCATACACACCCTGAGCACACTACTTCACAGATGGTGGCACATGGGTTTTTGTGTAGGGGTGGTTTGACAGTTCTAAAATTCAGTGGGAGATTACCACAGAGGGCAAGAGAAAAAAGTTTACCAAAACTGTGTCAGAAAAAGAGAACACTGAGTAAGTTCTGCTTTGTGTCAGGGTGAGGTATGAGAGAATTAAACTTTTTTAATAGCATAAAACAAAATCAGAAGAAAACAGTACACTGGAAACCTATTTTTCTGGGTATCTAGCAGTCAACAGAAGTCACAAAGAGAGTGACACTACCGCTACCAAGATCTACGAAAGTAATTATTTTAACTTACCTGTAAACCGAATATAAAATAACCACTAACACTTTGCTCTGCAATCACATCCTCCATGGTGCGCAAGGTAGTGCCCAAGTACGAGTTCAGGATCTGAGTAGGAAGCAGCCCAATTGAAGAAGCCATCAGGTAGTTGGGTAGTGACAAATCTGTAATCTGAGTAAAAAGACCGAGTAAGAAATCAAGCACAGCTCTTACAGAGTCTATGTGTACAAACAACCAGACTGCTGCTCCCACAACCAACCCTGCAAAATCATGAAAGAATTTCTCACATTCCTTCACTGAAACTTAGATTCACGCTCAGCGGGAAGATAGTACAACAAAACAGTATGTGTCTGGTTTTCATCTGGCCTTTTTAAAGTTAATAGGTTTTATTTCATTTCACCTTGCATTACACAACATCTCCGTGTAAAAGTCATTAACTAAGGATGCAATTACACTGTTCATTGAAGGTATTTATTTCTGCAGGGTAAATAGAGCCCTCAAATTTATGAGAATTTAGTTGTTAGAAGAAATTACTTTATCAAATGTGAAGGTCTAAAGCAAAAATGTATTTGCTTTGGATTTTACATGTATGGCACATAATACAAGAGGTAATTGTTCAAAATGTCACTGTTGTGATCCAGGTAAACAGAACGGCAGATAAAATTTGTGTCTGCAAGGGAGGTTATACAGCTCAATAAGACACATATATCTATCAATGATCCCTATGAGCAATACCTACCTATATCTATACTGATATATGTGGGGTTTGTTAAGATTCTTTACCAAAGATATTTTGCATCACACCTCAATTAGTGACCAAAAAAGTACACATGGCTATAGCTTTTGTTCATTTCTCTGGAAAAAGCACTACTAATACTACAACATTTTTCTCTTTATGGTGTGAAATTTCTGTTCTAAGTCATCGTGTGGACATATGAGTTTATATGGGTACAAAGTACACAATACCAGCTAAATTAGTATCAGCAGACACTGGCAAATATTAAGTACAAGAGTCATGAGGTCAAAAGATATTTATGCAAGAAAAAAGAAAACAAGAGAAATTCTGAGTTAAAAATGAGTACGAAAAGGGTGATCTTGAAAACAAGAAGTTTAACGAATTTTCCAGACAATTCAGTTGATCACATCATAATAAAACAAGATCTGATTAAGAACAGCCCTAACACTGGGAGCCTACATGGAAATTATTGACCTTGACAGTTTTGTACAATGTTGAAGACCAGAGAATAGCAGCAATGTTACTCATTTCATCATACTATTCTTAAAATAAACTTTGGTTACTGTGAAAGTCACAGTGCTGAATTCTCAGAGCTCTAAGCACCATCAGTGGAAAGTTTCTGGGAGGAAGGAAGGGCAATGGAGAAGCAGAATGCAATGAAGCATAAAGATTAAGAATAATTCACTGGGACAAGATCCCATAAGCCAATTCAAAACTTCACACTGCAAATTATACTTCCCACAGACCAAAACACATACAAGCACTAAAAATAATATATTTCTCTCTATGAACAAGATTTAGATTTATAATGAAAAAGCATTACATAATTATGTCAGAATTTTACATTTGACCATTGCTTTCAAAAGACTTTTTTTTTTAAACATTTTTGTAATCTGGGCCATGTAATAAGAATGCACAGCCCAAACTTCCCATATTGCCGAGGGAATGGAGGAGCTGCTATTAAAAGTCTCTGAAATACTAATGCAGAGGCAAGATTTGCTAAGTAGGACACTATCGTTAAATCTAATGGAGCTGGGAAACTTCCCAAAGATTGTTTTAACATTCCTGGCACCTCTCTCATTTCTGTATGTGTATTAAGGACACTTTGGTTGCAGAGCAACATGTCTGCACATCTGGATCCGTCCTGAAACAACTGGACCTCCTGAGCCAGGAGAGAGATTGTTTCCAAATGAAGGGGAGACTGTCATTGGATACACTGGACTGCAGCTTTTACTTCCCACTGAAATGAAAGCTAGGGAGAGGGGGAAACATTTTTCGAGGTGCCCTTTTACATCCTGGTTCGTAAGGTTTAGACCTACAGTCTTATTCCTTTCCCTGGAAGGCACAGGAAGCAGAAAGCATCTCTGCCTAAGAAACCTGAGAAATTACCAATAAAACTTACAGCTTTTCATACTTTCCGTTCTAGGACCTTTACCTGCTCTATCAACCTGCCAGACTGGCATCTGCATAGCCAAGCTGCCCAACTGAGGCTACTAGAGCTCTGTTTCTAATGAAAGTTCAGACCAAAAAAAATTAACAGTGAAATCCCAAAGCAAGCATGGATGCAACTGTGTTATGGGCCATTGCAGAATTGCATTTAAATTGTATTTAAATAAAATTAAAAACGACCTAATTGCTTGGGTAACAATAGTCAGAAACTCTCCAACCAAACCTTGGATAGGCTTTGTCCAGTTGCACTTTTGTGTATTCTTTGTGGCTGACACTTTTGGTTCAGTGGTGTCAAAGAATAAAATCTTGTGTCAGGACTTTGTTAGGGGCTCACACGCCTTTGGGGATTGCAAAGGATTTCTCTCCCCTCAATTTATGAATCCCTGTGTTTTGGATCACTAGGTTTAGTGAGAGAGCTAAGGATAACTCAGATGCTCTACAAAAGAGCCTAAACAAAATGAAATAACAACAAAAAATAGTGAATTAAAAACAAAGAAACAAACAAACAAACAAAAACACCTATCAACTTTCCAACAAGCAGAGTAAGCAGCCTGCGTATTCTTGCAAAGCAGGTACCCTTTCTTCATCTGACTTCACCGTGTGCATTTCTGGAACCAGAGATGCACGCTTGAACACTCAGATTTCTTAGTCAGATTATTTCTTCCATGTGATATCCCTCTCAAAGAGGGGAAAAAAAAGAAGTATGAATTCCAATCTACCCTACATCTGGCACTACAAATAACCAGTTTGCACAAATCTCACTCCACGAACACACTTGTGGGAAGGAGATGATAACCTGCATACCAGGCCTCCTTACAGGTATGCCTTCAAAAAAACACCAGAGCTGCCAAGGGGAGGGGGCTGTGCATGGGCAAACACATCAGTAAGAGCTATCAGCCCACTCCAGCAGCGCAGGCTACCCTGGCATCACAGGAGTGACAATCAAGCAAAACCCACTCAAAGAGAAGTATAAACATGCTTTCAGTTAATAAGTTTTCTATGTCTTCCAGAAAGGCAAGGAAATACATTACCCCACCGTTATACTATCAGCACTTTCTCAAAGAGCAGCAGAATGACCTCATAAGCAGTAAGATGTTCATGTCTGGCTGGTGAGACTCTAAAGAATTTGTGGTAATTTTCTTCTTATGATGTTTCAATTAATATGATCCCCTCACTAATCAAATGCTAAGAAGCTCTTCCATCTTTCTCTACACCTCCTGCAATTCAACCTCCCAAAAACCCTCAGCAGATGGTACATGCCAGTGAACAAGTGCTTGTAGAAACATTTAATCCCAGCCCTGCAGATGACCCTGCTCACATCAAGGTTATGCCTTGACCTTATGTGTCACTTCCTTCCTTCCTTCTCATCTAAGTATCCTCAGCATCTCCAGTTTACTTATAAATATCAAGCTTGAAAACATGCACAGACCAGACTGTTAGAAAATTAAAGATGTGTAAGTTTTCTTAGGATCACTGTTCCTCAAAAAGCAATTATTTTAAAATTCATTGCTGAAGTTGCTAGTAGGGGGAAATGCATTTTAAACTTAAAATGAGCCTTAAGGTTTCAAATAAGTGAGATTTCAAAGAAATGACAGCTCAGTCTGTGCAGGTAGAAAACTATTCTATACATACCTTAAACTTGAATCACAGAGAGAAAATGAATTCCCAAATTTGCATGCAACATTTTATTTGTCAGTGATCTAGTACCTCCTATTAAATGTTCTCAGTGAAAAATTAAGCACACTGGCTTCATTTGACTATGCTACAAAGTAGTAAATCTGGAGTAATAAATGTAACCTAACTAATATTAGCAGGAAACATCCAAGTTACTTGGTATACTCAAGAATCTGGATTCATCTCATTTCCTATCCATTATTTCAACACTGAAACCTTCCACTTGGCAAGAAAATTATTTAGCCTGCAGAACATGGAGAATACAAACAACTGATTTATAGCATCATTTTAACACCGAACTGGCCTGAATACTCTGCTGAATTGTGTTTCCAACAGAACGGTTATGCCAGGAAGAAAATAATTTTAAATCAGTAATTCTCTGTTCTTCAGATCCAATACTACTGTAAAACATTTGCTGACTACTTCAGTTGGCACCCTGAAGCTGAGAACAACTGAAACACACAGCTTTCCCCACTTTAGGAGGGTCACAGTACAGCAGAAGCTTCAGCTGCTACACTGAGACCTTGGGCTCCAGGGGAGACTGCTCCCAGCTGGACAAGCCTAAGCTTCCTCAGTCCTGCAGTAACACAGGTTAGTAAACTAAACAGCAGAGGTTCAGCTGTTCAGTTTATCCTTCTCAACAAGGAAATGGTTAAAGGATTTGCTTAAAAAGAAATAATAAGTTGCTACAGCTCTTATGGACAGAGGTTACAGCTCTGGAGATGAACGCCCCAGTATAGAGAGTTTTATACACAGCAATTTTAGATATTTGATGTGTGTGTTAACATCTCAAAATTGCAGGGATTAATTTTTTCTTAAATAACAAATTTGGTATCCAGTGACCTACTAACTGTTAAAATTAATCAAGCTTTCAGAAGGGAACAGGCTCGGGACAGCAAACAGGGGAAGGAAGGTGTGCTGTTAGAAAGTGGCAGACCAAAGCACTTGTTTAGATGGTCACTTACATTAAAGAAATTATGTAATAATTTAATATCAGTAAAAAAGTTACTGATAAACATCTAAAATATTTCACAATCCCATTTGTTTTGTTTTGATTTCACCAAGTTAGCAGATACAACTGAGGCATAACATACAGCCAAAACCAGATCCTTCAGACAAAGCACATGAGAAGCAATGAGGATCTGAAATTGTCACCATCAGCATGACAGTCCTCAAAAAGAATACCCTTCTTGGTCTTTACTTTCTTAAGAATGTAAAAATGTACTAATGAATGTACTAATGACTGTTCTAATCTCCATCTAAAAGTAGAAAGAAAAGCAAGACTAACCCTTTTCCAAACTAAAGTTTAAATTAACTTTCAGTGCCACTCTGGTGTATGGTCCCTTTTCAGGTCTGATGCTATATCTTACTCCTCTTCCCAAAACCTGCGACCTCGATTGTGTGCATGGACTTAACACCATGTATGGATTTGCCAGATGCATGCCATAAACACCAACCACACTGAGCAAGAATTTTAATCTGTCCACTTTTTTCTTTCCAACATGATTACTTATGTTAAGTAGTTTAGGAAGATCTGGCAAGACTTTTCCTCCCACTCAGGTCACTTCAAAAACACAGGCACTGTGTAACTGTTGAGTTCTCAGCAGATTTTGCTACACAGTACCTTGGTGCTTCTCTCTAACACCAGAATATATTCTTGAAAGCCAGAGAGCAACTCTAACACAATGCCACTGAGCAACTCATCTCAAAAACCTGCCTGCTGTCCCTCCGCGTGCACAGAGGAGCCACTACCAAGGGCAGGCAGAGAGGGTTGCTTTTACTGTTGTTAAAAGAGAGAGAAATCATGGTTTGTTCCCAGGAAAGCAGGCAACCTCCATCAGTGACAGCGGTCACTATGCCGAAAGGCAGCCTTCCAGCCAGCGCCTCTTCCTTCGGCCACACGGCCCACGCTGGGACTCACCGCGAAGACGGCATTCTGCAACCCGAAGGGGATCGGCGTCAGGCGCGCCACAACCACCACCTTGAGGCCACTGCCGCCCTCCACGACGCGGACGATGGCACTGAGCGTCCCGCTGCCCTGGATCCTGCTCCGTGCCCAGCGGGCCAGCAGCCGCTTGCAGGCCACGTGGGCGACAAAGGTGCCGACGAGGACGCCGAGCACCATGAGCCCCATGCCCATCATGAAGCCGTAGAGGTAACCGGCGGCCACGTTGAGCAGGATGTAGCCCCAGCCGCAGGGGAAGGACACGACGATGAAGCCCACGGTGAAGAGCAGCACGCCGGCCAGGCTGTCCAGGCTCTCGGCCCAGAGCAGCAGGTCCCGCAGGTACTGGCGCACCAGGGCCAGCGAGGCGAAGCAGAGGGCGGCCAGGACGCACACGCCGAGGCAGCTCTTGCACCAGCAGGTGCCCAAGAGGCAGCAGGAGCAGCGCCAGCCCCGGCCCTCGGCCAGCCCGTGCCCGCCGCCGCCCGCCTCGGGCAGCTGGCAGAGCAGCAGCTCGGCCGGCGGCAGCCCGTCCTGCTCCGTGTAAGGCCCGAGCAGCAGCCCACCGGCCCCCGCCGCCTCCTCCGGGACGAAGCCGACGGTGTCCCCGCTGCTGCCGGCTCGGGACAGCCAGCGGCCCAGGTCCTGTCGGGCGCCCTGCGCCGCCGCCTGCTTCACGGCCCGGGAGAGGAGCTGCAGCGCCGCGGCCCCCGCGCCCCGCATCCCCCCGCGCCGCCGCGCGGCTCCAGCGCTGCCGAGCCGCGCGGCCCCTTCGCTCCCCGCCTCCCCTCGCAGCCTGCGGGCAGGGGCGGCCGCTCCCTCATCGCCCCGCCATGGCCCGGCTGCCGAGCCCCGCCGAGGGCCGGGCGGGGGCGGGGAAGAGGCGGCGGGGAGGGCGGGGAGGAGGGGGCCGCGCTTCGCCGCCGCCCGGCGGGCGGAGGGGCCGCGGCGGCCTCCGCGCCGCCTCTCGCCTCGGCCGCGCCGCCGGGGCTGCGGCGTTAGACGGCGGCGGGGCCACTCTCTTCGTCCCGGCAGTGGCAGCGGCGGCCCTGACGGAGCGCGGGTCCCGGGGGGCGGCGGCAGCGGCGGCGGCGGCAGCACCGGGGCTCCATCTCCCCCCGCGCTGAGCTCCCGATCCGCGCCGGGAAGCGCCTTCTCGGAGCTGCAGTGCCGATGTGGCAACCCCGGCAGGGAGGAGGCTCCACTCGGCTCCGGCGGCAGCCGCGTCCGGCCCCACTGCGGGGCTCGGCGGCGGCGCCGCGACCCCGCCCCCCGCCCCGCCCCGGGAGCGCCGCGCCGGCCGGGCGTGCCCTGCGGGGGCCCGGGGAGCCCGCACCGCAGAGCCCGCACCGCGGGGAGGGCTCGTCTCGCTCTGACCCGCGGTCCTCAGCAGCCCGCATTCCCGGCAGAGCCGTAATCCGCAGTGTTTGGAGGGGCCGTGCTGAAAAGCGGGTTATTTTCTGTCAGGGGAGCGCTTGGTTCAAGCATCACTGACGACACTGTTACTCTTTCGCTCCATTGCCGCGTCGGCGACTTTCCCTCCCTTACATGAAGGCTCTGTATCGCAAACACCTGGGCTTTCCCCTCTCCACGAGCGAGACGAGCCTCTCCCAGCCAGCAGCCGGGCTTTGAGCTGAGGGGTGACAGCCGAGGCCCTTGGGCTCCGTGGCATCTCCCCGTCAGGTCGGCTTGGCTCCGCTTGGCTCATACGCCCGAAGGGTCAAGCATACTTGGGGATGGTTTGAACTTGAATGTTGAGCCACTGCTATAATGCTGAGCCTGAATACTCAGCGAGGGCTCCATTTAGAGGGGTGTTTTCTGGGGAGCCTCGCCGAGGCTCGACAACTTCGTAGGTCGCTGTTGCTCTGGCGTTACTAATGACAGGAGCCATAGGGTGCAAAAAGGGATTTGTGTTCTTTAAAACTGTTAAACATACAATGTGCTCCAGTGGAGTTAGATTCCCCTGCTGGGAAATTCGCAGGGGTATATAAAATGAGAATGTGTGGCAGTTGTAAAGGGAGAATTGGGAGAAAAACAAAACCAGAAGCAAAAGACTAACCAGATCTCAAAATGAAGAACATATCTTGAAGGAAATACTGCAGATATGCACTTGCAAAACACACTGTTCAAAACAATAAAATCTGGGCAATCCAACAAATCAGCCTAAGAAAACGTCAGATGTCTTTGAGAACCAGCAGCAGAATAAAACAATCCTGGGGACTCTGTATGGCAGGCAAGTGGTTCCAGCATAATTTGCTTTCATGCTGTTACCTGTATCTGAATGTGAGCATTTGATTTTGTGTGTGCTCTTTGCTTAAAATGCAAACACAGGCAGGGCATACATCCAGAATTATAATAATAATGGAAAGAAAGCCCTGCATTATGGCTTGTAAAGGATGATGGGTGTGATTGTAACATTGAGTAAAGCATTTCAGCAAACCGGGGGTGGCTGGAAGTTCAGTAGAAAAACAAGAAGGCAAAATATTAATTGTGGGTTTTATACTAAGAGCACATATATCTTTGTTGTGGATTTAGCTTGTGTACATTTTTGTTCAGTGCAGTTGCTTTCATAGCAGCTCAAAACCTGAGCGGAAATGTCTACCAGAGTTACACGCTTTATGCTGCCCCTGCTTTTCTTCATTTAAAGTGCAGAACCTTATACTCAGAGTCAGAATGAATCTCCAGCTGTCACTCTAAAAACTACTGTGTTTGGTATTTATAATGACAGAAAATGTAATTGAAAAAGGACCTCAAAATGGTATGAGGGAAATAATGGTCTGTCTATCTAAGAGACAGTTCTGACATTACACTCTAATCTATAAAAAACATTGAAACTAATTAGTGGAGATGCTTCTCCTGTCCCTAGGAATATATAGGCTGAAACTCCTTGACCTTATCCATCACCTCGGCTCCCTAAAATAGCTAATCCTGGCGTTCTACTGTCCCTTGGTGCACAGGCTCAGGAAGGAAAGACAACAAACAATCAGATTTTGAGTGACAGAGTATGATCATGGAGCACCTTTAGATAAACATCCAAGCAAGGCCACAGGAATTCAGCAGGACTTGGGTGGAGTTGGGAGCCTCTCCTATTCACACAGTAGACACAGCTATGGAGCTGAAAGGCAGTGTCAGCTGGCTCCTGCAAGCTTTCCCAGCACACTCCTACCACCTGAAGGGAAAAAACCCAACATCACACGCCCTTGAAAATGTGCCAAATTGGCAAATTGCTGGACAAAATCCTGGACAAAATGGTCTGCCTTTCAGACTTACTAATCAATGAATCATAGGATATTCCTGTACCATGGATGATGCAGTTGCAATGGTCTGATGATATAAGCAAAGCAAGACCTGTAAGGAAAAGCAGTTATCTTTCCATAGACTAATCATTACACTTAAAAAACCAGGTGAGCTCTTGAACACACAGCTTCTGGACAAACACTTTGTGCTCCAAAAAAGATAGCGTGCTTTTTTTTTTTTTTTTTTTTTTTCTCCCCACATAGATTAGTTGATTTAGTGAATAATTTCCAACAAATGTTGTCTAACCTGTTCTTTGAAAAAGCACAGCTGGCCTGGTTAACTTCAGAAATTATTTGAAGTAATAGGAATAAAAAATACAGGTTTAGTACATGCAGGTTTAAAATCTTGCAGTACATCAAATAAAACTGCTCCTGTACTTCCTTAGGCTGAGTTACTTAGATTCTCACTAAACTCATCTATCACTTGAACTCACTTCTTACCTTTCTTTATATTTAAGTTTGGTATTTTTCTGAAAATCAGTGTAAAACCTGAGTTGCACAGAGTAACAGCTGGAAGACTGTTCTGCTTCAAGAAAAGAAAATCTTTCTATAGAAAGATGCTCTCACAATGATGTAGATTGTAGTGGATATTGAAGAATTTTTGCCATACAGGTTTTTTTTCCAAGTTCCGCGATGTAGATCCAGGCTATTCCCTTGTTCTTGCAGGAGCAACTGAGAAATGCTCTTTTGTGTTTTGAAACTCTGCTTCTCCCATCTCATCTTCAAGGAATACTAGTATGCAAACACACCCAACCAACCATGTGCCTCATCATATTCAAATGAAACACATGACTCATTTAGGCCCATGCAACTGGTCCACACTGAGTAGGGGCCCTGAGGATGGAGAGTAGGATACATTAAGCCATGAATCAGGAGCTAAAATAATTCTGATTTACAAGCTTCTGAAAACTTGCCACAGTTATTTCTGAATTGCTCTTTAGGACGTAGAGGCAGGACTTTTTCCAGATAATATTAAGGGCCATAACACCTGCATACTTCTAAATGCGTGTTAGTTCTGTCAGCATTACTGTGAAGGTCCTTAGGTGGGAACTGCAACACTGACTAATTTGTGTCAGGAGTAACCATTCTTAGGCCACAGCAGGCTGTTATTGGAACTGCCTCCATCTGGTCTGCAGTCTTCCTTGTCAAACATTCCTTTACATCCCCACGAAGGAAGGTGGATGTAAACAGGGAATACACTTTTTGCTGTTTAACAGAGTATGAGCTGCAAGGATTTGGGGAAAGGTATTAGCAAGGAGCAAGCCATGACCAGAGAGATTATTCTGGTAGACCAACAAGCCTGCAAGCCATTGCTGGCCCCCACTGATTTGGATCATTCTATTTTAAATACATGTGCATTCACAGTTTTATCAAAGTGAATGAGAAGTGTGCTGAAGGAAAACAAGCTATCATGTTGCTCTCTAGGGCATTGCTTAAATTCCTGGTGAAAGGTGATAGTTCTGGAGTTACTGCATCAGGAACAGGAGGTGGAAGAGGAGAAACAGCACTATTAGCAACTTAGGATCATCCAGTGTTTTAATTTTTTTGGCAAATATCTATCAAGATGTAACAAAATTTGTGTTGCTTTCACTGGGAGCTACTTAGTTCAGAAAAGATCATTAATTAGAAGATATAAACATAAAAAATGAAGTACCCATAAACCTCATTAAGTGTATACCTTGAAGAGTTTTTAAATCTTGGGGTGAGAATCCGAACTGTGTTATTCTGCAGCTTGATTTATTAGGTGTCTACAGAAACTTTATTACTTGATATATAGTCCCAGCCTCCCAGATAAGTCCAGATACAATCATGTTAAATCAATCATGCTTGATATACTACTGTAAACTCATATAATTCAGAAAATGAATGTGTTTATTTTCATACATTTCTACATAAGAAATATGGTTTATACAATAATTTAAAAAGAAACATTTCAATTCAATTTGCTTACAACTCCATATAAGGCAAGAAGAAAAATTAAATACAGTAAGCAATGTGCTGAAATATTTAAATTGAAGATTCTGAGACATCACTGTGGTATTAGTTATTATATAAGTAGTGATACATCTAAAACAAGTCCATTACAGTAGAACTGAGGATTTGCAATGACTTGTATAATATTCCTTAGAGTGTCCTGGCCCAGAAAGAGCAATTGAGAAACCTTGAACATCCTTATATATAAGGCAAAAGTACAGCTTTATATTTGGTATATCTGTAGGTGCCTTCGGCTGTTGCAGTAATGGAAAAGTTAAGCTAATTCTTCTTAAAAACTCACATGAGATTCTTCCTTACAAAAGGATATCCTTAGGTTGACAGAAGAAACTTCTGCCAGTTTTTCATTCCATGAAATGACAGCTTTGTTGCAAAAACCCCACATTAATCAGGAGCTGTTGGTATAATGCAGAATAGCCTAAAGTTTGGAAGTCCCAAAATTGCTAATGAGAACTAGACTAACACTGACACCCCTAGGAAATAGTAAGCTAGGGAAGAAAACCCAAGTATATTAAGTTAATTGTGTCCTCCTGAAT